TCATTGATTAAAGCATCACTTTATATGCTTCTGAAATAATTTATGTTATGACTTCTTTTACAAAAATCAAGCATTATATTTGTAAGGCTGTCAGTTACTTGCAAAATCCCATTACAATGTCAAACAAAAGCAAGGATGCTCTCTTTATCTTAGAGTACTGTATGTTTAGTATGTACAAAGCATCTTATCATATATCAAACTGCTATACAAAATACAAAGTCTTCCTACAAGTCTTACTGACTGGATTTATCATCCAGTTCAATCTGGGACTTCATTAAAATTATTTGCCTTAATAGTGTACAATCTTAAAAATAAACATTCTTTATTGATTTGTGGACATTTTCCACTATTAAAGGTTATTTGGTTGGATATGTCATTCTTTAGAAATAGCTTATGATGGCATTTCCAAGATAGCCACCAAGTGGTCTGACATGCCTTAAAGGGATTTTGTCTTAAAACCCCTTTTAGATCTAGTTGGAATCTTTATTGCAAAGTGTAGCACACAACTGAATTACGCTTGAAGAATTTTAAATGGGCTTTCATATTTATTCAAAACAAATCAGACACATGTTTATAGTGGGTCTTTTTACATAAACAAGTCATTTTGTCTTTTTTGAAACTCTGAAACATTCACTGATGATGAGAGAACATATATGTTTTTTGCCTTTTATATAGCCCTAACAACAGTGTTTTAAAACAATATATACAATATTAAAAACATATACTCTACTATGAGGGAGCCAATAGAAACCAGTTAATGGAAAAGGAAAAGATATTCTTAAATTAACCTGGACATGGGCAATAAAGCCCAGCTAGTCCAACTGCTGATGGTTTCGATAGTGTTCATATTACTGATGTACTGTATTAACATTAGGGGAGACATATCAACCAGCAGGCTGCTGCGTTTCCATAATGACTCCTAATGGAAAGAAATAGCCATATATCTCTTAGCACTGCACTGAAATACCAAATAAGGCCTGTACTCTTTGTCAATGTGCATGTATGACTGTAATATTGCTAAAAAATTGTACAAAAATATTGAATATAGGACCTAAATAAAACCATCTTGTAACTGATCTTAAACTGATTTAGAGCTAATTTCATACATTTCATGAATATAATGTTCATGTTACCCCATGCAAACTCTCCACTATGATGCCAGAGTATTGTGGATAGTTGCCAAGATAGTTTTATATGTCCAATCCATCATATTAAAGGTTGACCTCGAGAAAGGTGCTATCATCTCAAGTGGTCTTGATTTCATGCTTTGCACTGTTTTAGACAAAAAAATAATAATAAGAAGAATGAGATTTTAGAAATATATAGGCCATAGAACTATACAGTACGGCCTTTGAAAAGGCTCTGAGGGCCTAGCCTAGATCTGCAATCTGCATGGAGTAGGTATGTGTGTATGTGTCAGCTACCTGCCTAAACTGAGTGAACCGGTGCACTAGAAGAGACTCCCCATTGACTGTGTGACAGTATGGCGGTGATATGATGAATGGGCTGTTTCTGTGTCATTTAATTACTTGCATTTTCAACTTGCTAGAGTGCAATCATAATATTACTGAAACGAACAAAGAAGGAGCTATGATTCCTAGAACAAGAGGATTGATAGGGATCAAATAATAATGGATTATTTCTTGCTTCCACAAAGTGCACAGATCAAAATTGGATTTTTCAATCAATCATTTGAAACACAGGGCAACTCAATTAGTGCTAAATGGAATGTAATTTTGAATGATGGATCAGATAGGTCCTTCAGTTGTTACCCATAATTAATGTTCATGTCCCAGGCTATGACAGACAGCAAGACTGATGCTTGCCTATTATATCTGAGTGGCGTTCCTCAGGGAACAGTTCTAGGCCCTATCGAGTTGTAAGAAAACAGACTTGTCAGCAAACGTCAACCTTTTTGCAGGGTTCAAGCCAAGGAGGACCATAACACCTGGAGGAAACTTTTGATTAGCGTTAACAGTTCTGTACATAAGTGTTTTTAAACTAATCACTTGAGCTGTAAATATCATAAGAATTATTTTGGAGCCTCAGGAGAATTACATCCTTACATGCTAATGCATTGACTTAATGGCACTGATAGAATAGAATGGCCTATAATCACAAACCCTCTACTAATGACTATCCTAAGGTGTGCTGTGAAAGGCAATAGACCTTATTTTCATGATAGACAAATATTTTCAAGCTTTGAAGCAACCTAGGCTCACTGGAAAAACTATTTTGTGTCTGTAAAACTCCAAAACATGCCTATACATACCATTCAATACAGTTTAAAGCGAAAATGAACACTAGGGGCAGTAAAACACCAACATCTTTTATCCCTTTATTTACAAATTTTGATTACAGGGACAGATAAATTATTAATAAAGACAATACACTTTTAATACAAAACACTTTTACCATAGTGCATCATTTGTAAACATTACAAATCACATGAATCACAAATCACATAACTACATTTTCCAATGTAGTAAACTTGCTCTGTAGCTCACCTGGCACAGTATTGCACTTCCAATGTGGAGCACTCGGTTGGTTATGCAACACACAAGTCACCATAAAATAGTTAAAAGACAAGCTAAAATGGCATGATTGGTTCAGCAAATGCATTTTAGGAGCTAACCTATCAGAGTTTGACCTCTTGGATCAAACTGCATATATTCAGGCAATATTTTCAAACATTACTAACAATTAAATGTGAAGTGTGGCATTTGTAAAAGCATATGAATGTGACCCCTTCTATCATGTGATAGAATGACAATATTCTTCACTAGAACTAGAAACTAGAAAAACGTTTTGTACCTCAGCCCACCATGCTGCTGGAACATTCCAAATCACACTAAGGTTGAGATTTAAGACTCTCTTGTTTATCTGCAAAGGGCCATGCACTACTAGAGGAGACATTTACGGTGGCCGAGAGAGCTCAACGCACTGCAACTTAAGAAAACACATGCAAATTGAAAAAACACCAGCAAATTAAGAAAACATCTTCATCAGTTTGACAACACACGCGCTGCAAATCCTCACAACACATGCAAATGAAGAAACGCGCTGCAAATCCTCACAACACGTGTTTTTTCAATTTGCATGTGCTTTCTTAAGTTACAGCGTGTTGAGCTCTCTCGGCCACCGTAGACATTGCTTTTGAATTGCTTTTCCTGTTCTGGTATGTAAGATGAGTGTATCAATCTGAATTAGTCAGCGCATGCGTGCCACAGTCTACTAAGGCTGTAAATTGATGTGCCTCAGATGTTTCTTATGTTGCACTATCTTGCATATAGTGTTGCAGCACTAGAGGGGCTTCTGTAAGGATTGTGCACGAATCATTTTGCAACCCATCAACAAATCGGTATGACTGCAGTTTTGAAAGATTCAAAGAGTCATTAGCCATCACTGCCCTAATGTAACCTCTGATTGAATTAAGATAACCAGAGACTGCATTGAATTTCACAGAGAGAGGGGAGTTATGGGTAAAGCTTTGATCCTGTGCAGAGAGAAGCATGTAGGCTGACACACAAAAATCCAGACCTTCTCGCACATCCATTTCCACCAGTGTTGTAAATGGGCTCTGAAAAAGTAATGTGAGAGGTATGGGCATATCCCAACACTCGAGACGTATATCTAGTAATCCACAGAATGGTCTAGGGATTTTATCCGTCTTCCATTACCAGAAAAAAAATCAATCAAAAAGACGAAGGAAAAAAAATAGTCAACATGATATCACCAGTTCATAAGTTGATATAATCCTTGAAAGCATTAGTCCTTGATAATGGTTGTTAATTTACAGGGTAGGATTAGAAATAAACATGGAGTTAGGGTGAGTCCGAAGGGTCAAGATTGGGCTGGTTAACACTGCTCCATTGAGTGCTGCATTGGTGATATATTTTGGTATAGGCCAACCTGGAAGTTAGCATTCCTTGACAAAAACCCAATAGGATTTTTCCATTGGCTTTTCGAATGTTGCAGAAAATAATCTTTGTGACCAATGTGTCCAAAAGTTTATGATTCTAGCACGTTTTTCTCGTTATGATAATCTTCACAAATCAACACAACTTTTATGGATTTTGCAGCCTAAAAGCAATCACAAAAATAAAAAGGTAAAGCAATCGGAAATCGGAACAATAAAAAAGCTATAAAAAGCTGTATACTATAACTGAACTTCAATGTCACTGTCACTAAGCTTCTGACAACTCTTTTAGTTTTTATTTAAAAAAAAATCCTAATAGTTTGAAAGAGGGATATGAACTGAATAATGAACCGAATAAGGCTGTGAAAGTCAACTAGTAATTAGCTGAGTTTACCTGTTTGAAGTTGATGTTGATGTATGTCATGCTACTTTTTATTTATTTATTTTTCTCCACAGTCTATTATTGTGATATTATTAGCATTCCAAAGATTATATTAGCATGTGAACTAAGAATGTTACGTTAGCAAATTGTATTATGGTTTAAAAAGTGTTTTTTTAATATACATTTTATTATTATTTTATTTATTTATTATTTTTTTTGCGTATTTACAAAGGTTTTAACACAAGCTAGTCAGGGGTTCGTTCCATATGTAGCGTAGAACTCGCTGCCATATTAAGATGCATCGTTGGAGAATTTATATGTCATGATGGTGTGGTCATGATGGGTTCCCCAAACCATAGTAACTTTGTCACACATGCATCATTTTAATGTTTGTACTGAATGTTAGCTTGCTTATTTTATTTAAGAGCATGATCTATTTAAAGGTTAAACTTTCAAGAAAAGATTCCGATGCTGTTTTCGAATGTTGGTTGGCACTGTATGGTTTCGGGAAACACCAAATCGTTAATCTATGTTGCTATGTTGCTATTATCAGAACTTGTAAACATTGTTGGCTATCAGTGTTTTAAGGAAACAAACACCAGGGCATTAAAAAAAGGTTTAGCTTAGGCTAAAAGGTTTTGCTAAAATGCTAAAATTTGGGTTTTGTGAGATAAGCCTCAACAGACTGTGCCCTGAAAATTACCTATAGAAATTCATGAAAGTCACATTGTTATTTGCACACAGACTTGAGGGAAGCCAGAAGCATTGTCAGAAAAAAACTGAGGTAAACTACCTCCCTGCATTGTGACTGACAGGATTCAATGAACATTTTCTTCCCAAACTTTCGTTTAGAACTCTGTTAGTATGATTTCAACAGGAAATCCATTGGCAGCTGTAAAAATGGTCCATCTGTAATGAGTAGATCATAACCCGGTCTCTAGACTAGCATTTAATAAGCAATTTATTTGAAGCAAAGCATTAAACCAGAACTGATCGCCTTTCAAATAAGACGCCAAACCCCCATGTCGCAGCCTCCAACTGAACCAGCACTAATCGCCGCAGTTGGAACTCTTCCTCCATATGTTATCATGGATAAAGATATTGATCCCCACCTCATGCTGTCAATGTGTCACTTCTAATCAGTCATCCAAGGCCAAGTTTTCACAAGTGTCAGTTTGAATTCGAAGCCGAGCACCTCATTTTCCATCTCCTGGCCTTAGGGTGGAGATAGTCACTGGCCATGGGACTGTTTTCAATCTTGAAAAACAAAGCAAAGCATGAAAATTACTTTTACAACCCTTATGAGATGGCCTTCAAATCTTGAATGTAGGGTAAATTAAACGACTGGGGCATGTTTACTGTTTAGCGAGGAGAGGAAATGACTTTTCTTAGAGAGTTAGGTTGCGGCCATGTTGTCGTGAGGTTTTCATAAGGGCACAGGGCTTTATATGTCAACATTTTAATGAAATCGTACAGTACGAATTCTCAAGCTTGCCATCTCATTTATTTCAGTGCTTTGTTCCAATACAGAGGCATTCAAATCTGATTGACAACGAACCTTATTAACAATTTTACTTGCGATTAAAACCTTAAGCAGCTGCCACCTACGGTGCTTATTTTAATACTAAATGATCAGTTTCAGCTGAAGAGATTTATTTCCTGGGTGAAGAGGTCGTTTAGCTGTGGAGTTGTTACATTCCCAACAAGGTGGTCATAATGAAAGCTAATAAATTAAGAGCTTCTCTTACTCTCGACTCAAGCATACACTGAATGCAAATGTTCACATTAATCATTTGAGTCTGAATAGAGACTGATAATGGGGTAACAGGGAAAAGAGATGTTAGATAGTCTCTCTATACTTACACTGTCTGAGGATTACACACCGTATGAGTGTGTGGGTGTTCATTTTGGGTTATGCGTCATTAGGAATTGAATGGACAATGCCTTTTAAATTGTAATTCAGTTCCGGATGTTAAATTGAATTTGAACTGATGTAGCAAACAGGCTTTTATTTGAATTTTAACTTAATAAGAATTCAAATGGAATGAAATACAAATAAATCATATATAATACATAGAATTATATAATTATACATACAATTATATATAACTTTTCAAGAATAATTACTCATAAACATGAAATAATACATGTAATAATACAGTATACACATCATAAAACATATTTTAAATGTCAATATATTTCCCATTGGTATGTATTCATATTACATTCTTCTTTTAATACATTAATAGATCATTTAAAGTATTTACATTTTATTAATTTAAATTAATAAAATAATTAATTTAGCACACACTTTTCAAAATGAGCCAAACACAAGAAAGAAGTTGGCAAGAGGGAAACCTAATAAGAAGCAAACTGCAATTCATCCTGCACCTTAATTTAAATTCAGATGATGATTAGCTACAGCAAAGGAAAAGGGTATAATTTTCATAATGCTTTCAATCTAGTTTACGCTGTTATGATGCACTTCAATTATGCCCACCTGGCCTTACGAGGGGTTATTAGAGCACATCATGTAGGTCATTACCATTCCTCCCATGGCTGAAATCACGGACAGTAAGGGTGTAAATAAACAACAGGCCATCACTCAGTCTGTCTAATTGCTGCCGACAGCCGTAACAGGCTGCAGATGCCATGGGGACAAAATGAATATGATTTGAACTGAGATCAGAAATGTTTTTATCCCTGGTGAAAAAGAAGTACATTTTTAGCATACTTTTAAATGAGTACTGTAGTATTATTTTATGTAAATACTATACTTTACAATTATACCTAAATGCAAACTGAATGTAATGTTTCCAGACACTTACTTGTATGGTAACAGCAATTACTTGAAAATGTATGGAATTTAATGTATATTTAATGCAATTAGCTGAACTTTAGAGTGTTGTTTGACCCATGGCTTTATATATATACACTTTATCTCACAGAGTATGACGCAGCCTGCAGAAGTGACATGCATGGTTGTTGTCACCACTAGAATTACCTACTGTAGCCAAAGCAAAATAAACTAATGTAACCTCTTCCAAGGCCCATATTTGCAAAATAGAGACTTCTGGGAATCCATACTCTGGTCTCAAGAGACCAAGTCAATCATTGCCAAGAAGGCTCAGAGCAGTATACTTTAAGTTCTGGAGGACATACTGAGTACTAGAATATTATACATTTTCTGAATTAAATCTAGGGTGTACTCATTTCTGCAATCCTTCACTTAAACAAAATTGGCTAATTTACTTATCTTACAGAAAATATTGGCATATATTTTGTTGTTTTTATTAAGTATATGTTTACTATGTTTCAATGTGGCCATCTTTCCATTAATTATATTAGTGATCATTAAGAAAATACATCTTTTATATTTATTCAGAGGGGGTGTACTCATTTATGCTGTGCACTGTGTATATACATATATATATATATATATATATATATATACTACTATAACTACTATATATTTACATATACATAATTACTTCTATTGTTTTTCTTCTATTGAAATATGAATGAATGCATGGTTAAAGTTTACAGTCGAATGCACTGACAAGCATTTATGATCATCTAAATTATACTTTAATGTCTTTTTTTATATTATGAATCTAAATATATTTGTAATTACACATTCCTAATGATGAAGTTGCAATTCAGTACATTTAAAATATATTAATTTTAAATATAATATTGAATAACATAATATTGATACAATTATAATCGAGTATCAGCTGTTTTGACTCTCATTCTGAAGCCCATTCAAATTCAACATTTGTAATTTTATTATTTATTTGTTTGTTTGTTTATTGGTTACATTTTATTTTAGGATGCCCTTGTTAGAGTGTAATTATACAATTGAATACCGAGTAATAGTAATTAACAACATGTACTTACTTTAGGGTTAGAAGTAGGGTTTGATTTAGGGTTAGTTGCTTATAATAATGCATAATTTACTATTATTACTATAGAGGGTACAGGTGTAATATGTAACAAATGATAAATGTCAAGTAATGAATGCTGGGTAAGTAACTTACAAGGTAAGACCAAAAACGTGTACTATTTAACAACATTAAATAGATTAAATGTGTGTCCTTTTGTTGCATACAAAATTAAAGAGAAACTGCTGATTCAGTTTTGTCATTTAATATTAATACTAATATTATTAATTTATCATTTATAAAAGTTTAAATTTATACTTCATTTCATTGCAGATTAGTTTCTGTTATATGTTTAAACAGACACTTACAATGTCTACTGTAAAGTTAGGAAAGTTGTATATGAATTAGGCTTACTTGTGATTTCACCATTGTAAGTTAAAGTCATGTAAATAAAGGTAACAAATAGAGCTTTTCATGAGTTGCTTAATATAAATAGACAATTCTTTTAATTAGAATGTGTTAAGATTAGTTCACTCAAGGGATTTTTTAAATATAAAAATGCAGTGTAAAATGGTTGCCTTCATATCTTTTCAAGTTCTACCGACACCTCCACCAAGGTGTCCTTGTTACAGTGTAATTATACATTTAAGTACTGCTAAAATCGCGTTTGGTCTCGTACTGTATCGCGTACCTTGTCAGTGTCGTGCGCTTTGTTTGGCCATTTGTTGTGATAAACAGGAAAGTGTGCACCAATGCTGATGTTGTTAACATTAATCATCTGAGAATAAGTATAACATATATATAAGTATAACAGTATAACAAAGTATAACAATAATAATAATTTGAACGGTTTGATGTGATATGAGCTAACCGATCTTTAGATTTAATCACCATTGGTAGCGAGATTTATGGTAATGCTTTTTTCCTCAGTTGGTCAGAACAAACGTGGCAGACTTGTTACTTACTTGTTCAGATGGCAATATACGGTGAAAATTCTTATTTGGGTCATATTCCAAGACGTAGACTAGAATCTGTGATTGCGAAGTACAGTAAATATCCACACCGGTGCGGTGATTGACTGCCACACATACTCTTCAGAACATTAGAGTCATCCGCGCTGGAGCCGAGCCGGAGCACAACCCACGCAAGCTACATAATTCCGCGCACTGCTGCAATTGCAGGTTTTCAAACAGAGATGGCGGCAAAGAGGCAAAACTTACAGACTGCAGCTTTAAGCAATTACATGTGCTTATGGATAGGATTTGGGTCACCTTAAAATAAAGTGTTTTTTTTTTCTTATAAGAGTAACAGCACACCCCTCCTCAACAAGCTTAATTATTTGAGGTGTCACTCAAGTAAGTGACAAAAAAATGTTGAACACTTTTAGAGTGTTTTTGAAAATGTGCAGAGCAAAGCTTTAAAAGTCTTTACACTTTTCAGGGCAAATCGACCTTTACTTATAGAATGCTTTGCTTATAGCTGTATTTGCACATTAAGCGGGGATAGAAGAAAGTATTTTAAGACTGACATAATTGCATTGGCTTTAAACAGGCTTGTGCCATCCAAATGTCCTCTTCAGTGGAGTCTACTTGGATGTGGGAGACGTCAAGCTGCAATGGGAACATAGTTCAATAAAGATAATGAAACTGAGCCGTTTTAATTTGCAGTTATCTCAAAGGGAAGTGATGCGTAAATCACGTGTTCCAGGCGTGAAGGAGAAATTCAATGCATTATAAAGATAAACGGTGGTGCAGAAGCTTTTAATTTTACTGTGTAATGTGAAGCACAGCTTTCTAGTTTGGCATATACATATGAAATTCTGGAAAACATGGATTTGGGCATGTAGATGGACAATTTAACATAAATTAGCTTTTCCTTTTAACCTAATTTGGTCC